CACACCACCGTATCCGCTTGGGCACCTGTTCATGGTTGTATTTAAATGGGAAAGGTAAAAATTTGTGCTTACAAAAGAAGTTTGACTGACTTGCATCGATTGCAGGTCCTGCTGTCAGTGAAACCTCCATTTTGACACGGAAGCTGACGTGGACAGCGAGCTTGAAATAAGTAGAATTTGGCAGAAAATCGGTTATCTACCTATTTTTGGAAAGGGGTTTCGTATGAACAAGGATTTACAAAAGAGAGAAGTTTTGAAGGTTTGATATACAAAACATCTAGAGACCAATGTATTTTTACTATTCATTCACATTATTGGCACAATGCATCTAAGATTTACTATATAAAAGAAGGTTTTTTCTAGAGCAAAACAAGTCTCTGCTTTACATAGAAGAAGCAAATTTGAACCGTCTCGAGTTTGGAGTCTTTTTTTTAAAGGACAATTTTTTGGTTATATGGTTAATTTCTTCCAGGGTATTAATGAGAAGTTTCCCAGGGCTAGACGAATGGAATTTAGCTGTTACAGTTATAGAATAGATATTTGGAGGTATGGGAATTACTAGACAAAAGGCAACTTTTTTGAGAAACTGATTGTAACACCATCATCTTTCTCAAACAAAAGAACGACTACGAAAAAAGGAATTGGATAGAGAATTGCCATAACTTCACGAAAACACAAAGGTTTCTAAAGGTTCGCGCAGTCCTTTAATATTTGCTAAAAATGTAATGGCGACAACTAGACGCATATAATTACTATGGAACTCGCTGGAATGCAATTATGTCAAAATCTGTGTTCGTATTAAGATATTACTGTATAAACCTCAAAATTACTGCTATAAGGATACTCCCATCATAGTGTTTTGAAACCCACACACAGTATATGTAACTGACCTTGGCAATTGTAGTGCAAATTTAGGGCCATGACATCCAAAAATGATGGTCCTTCCATTTGTCCCATAGTCTGCTGGAGGTTTGGGTCAACAGTTGTGAGAGCAGGCACCGACTTGTAGGAGGAGAACCTAATGGATACAAAGGAGGTTTTATTTGAAGAGCTGTTTGAATATTTCTTAGAATTCTCTGAAGAGATTTCTGAAAAGTAATCACTAACTCTGTTGGCGTATAATGCATAACACTACCAACATCATAGGGAAGGCGATATGTGTTCAGCTCTCTTGGACCAATCTGAAATTGTTGATTGTCAAACCTGTGATTCTTCTTTTTTTACTAAATATTTGTAGAAACTATAAGCATTACAAATTAGCTCTCACCTTTGCGAAGTTGAATAGAAGCGCAGGACTGACGACATTTCTATTGAGCTGAACTACGGGATCGCGGTCATACCTCGATTGTTCGTGAAAAACTCCCAAAGAATGCGCTAATTCGTGGGATGTTACCCCAAACTAGAATATTGCAT